TACTTTAATCCTATAACAAAGGAACAAATCTTTCATATGAAGGATCTAGGGTGCATTTTAAATTCTTTATCCTTGGTTCCTGGGTCAGTAACACAGACTTCAGTTGCAGATGGAAGAAATGTTTCCTTCTCTATTCAAAAGCAGTCTTTTTGACTAAAGAAATATGTTAAAACAGTTCCCAAGGGGACTTGGTGATGGCTTAGCAGTTAAGGGTATTAACTGCCCTTGCAGAAGTACCTGGGTTCAGTTCCCAGCACCCACATGGAAGCTAACAACAGTCCATAACTCTGGTTCCAGGGGATCTAACATCCTCTTCTGGCTTCCTTGAACACTGCATGACATGGATGCATTTAATATACATGCAAACAAAACACTTGTGCACATAAAAAATAAAAATAAATTAATTAAAACCCCACAAATCAGCCTTCATAGGCCATCATCTATCTATCCATCTATCTATCCATTTATCTATCCATCTATCTATCCATGTATCCATCTATCTATCTATCATCTGTCATCTATCTTTCTATATATGAGTTCCTTAAATTGGACAGGGGCAGTGGGAGGAAGTGCATATGGGGGAGGGAATCTAAACAACCTTCAAACCGTATTGTATGAAAATTGCAAAAATTAAAAAAAACAATTCCCAAGAAGAATCCATAAGTCAAAGAATTAAATATTTTGAAAGTAGAATGACAAGCTGCATATGGTGGTGCATGTCTTTAGTCCTAGAACTCTGGAAGCAGAAGCAGGTGGATCTCTGTGAGATTGAGGCCAGCCCAGTCTACATAGTAAGTTCCAGGCCAGCTGGGACTACAGGGAGACTCTGTCTTGAAAAGATGAGGGAGGGAGGGAGGGAGGGAGGGATGGAGGGATGGAGAGAGAGAGAGAGAGAGAGAGAGAGAGAGACTGAGACTTAGTTCATTTCTCAAGAAAGATTAAGACAAAAGGAAGAGATACATCAGAACTAAATATAGAGTAAATACAAAATCTCTAGTTATAATGTAAGAGAAAAAGTTTAAACCTAGGACTGCTGAAAGCAATGTCTTGATATAT